GAAAGAGTGATTATTATGTATGCTTGAATTGTTCAATAATTCTGGATTTAGGAACGCTCACACTGTCATCAACTCCTCTGAGTAATAATAAGCCAAAAGAATGATGTCATCTGCAAATGTGTCTGAGGACTTGGCACTTTATCCAAGATTGGATATGTGGAATTTGATGTTTTTGTCATACTTACATTCCATGGCATCCCCAAGGATGTTCTGGAAGAGTCCTTCCAATATAGCAATCTGGATAAATGACCAACCAAGTTTTTGTTTTTTTGTTTGTTTGTTTTTGTTTTCTTTTGTTTTTGTCTTAGACATAAGTCAAGAGAAAAATTATTTTTCTTTCCTCTTCTTTTAGCAGAATATTCTAGTACTTATTACTAGGCAGAAGACCAGGGTTACACTTTTTGATTTTTCTCATATGCTGAAGGGTGAAAAATTTACCCATAAATTGACCCATCTTAGTTTTTCACACATTGTGCTATATAAGACACTTTGTTAAGTGTCTTTTCTGTACTAGTAATAATCTAAATATCTCTCATTTAATTTATAAAACAACTCTACAAATGTGAAAGTATAATCTTGATTATAATAAAAGAAAACCCAAGATTCATAGAAGTTGAGCCACTGGTGAAAGACACAGAGCTAGTAAGTAAAAGAGAAGGTGTTTGGCTACAAAGTCCTGCCCTTTCTACTATCCTGTGTCCACTGACTCCTAATTACTACAATAACTGGCTCTTCCACAAAATTGTAAAAATGGCAAAATGGCTCATTATCTTTCTTGCCAACCTGTATCTTTAGTCACAAATTTCTCTCCCATCTGAGGTATTCTTCTGGTAGTTCTCATTGTTCAGTTTTTATTGCCAACCTGTATCTTTAGTCACAAATTTCTCCCATCTGAGGTATTCTTCTGGTAGCTCTCATTGTTCAGTTTTTACTTAGTTCTCTTTGCCTGTGGCTGACAACCTTTTCCCTGTATTGTTTCTACCCTTTGTTTCCTTGGGTCAATGTAAGCATTTCATGTAAACCTATAATAATGTTTATGTCATAGATGGGTTCAAAGACTGACTGAGTTAATTCATTGGTGTGAAGACGGACTGAGTAAAGACTTTATAGCAGTATTCAACATAGCATTAGCAAGAGAAAGTCATGAGAGACCCTACACG